ACCTGGAATAACCTGGGCACATCACGGCCAGGGCCAGGGGTGTTTCGGGCAATGTCAAATGTTTGCAGTTCCCTTTCATGTCTGCTGTCCCCTCCCAGCTGAGGACATCTCTTTGAAGCCTGAAGAGCTGAGAAACGCGCCCAAATTTGCCCCTGATTTGCTCAGTGCTATCAGTGCCTCTTGAGGGCCCAGGACAGGGGCGATGGCCTGTGGGCATCTCAGCCAGTGGAGATGAGGCCGGAGCAGATCCCAAGCACGGGGAAGCAGCTCCAGGAGGAGCTCACCCCACCTCCACAGCCTGGGATGGGTCCCTCAGGTCTGCCCTGACCCCAGCCGAGGAGGGCTGGACAGGGAGAGCGGGAAAGGTGGAATCATTTTTGTGAAAAACTCCTCTCCGGCGTGGCATCAACTTCTGGGCAGCAGCTACGGCCAGACCAGCTGGGCCTGTCTCCATGAGGGGACGTGAATTTGGCAGCACAACCCACCTTGTCACCAGTTCTGCCACTGGGTCACGTCATGAGCCATATGTCACCCTTCTTCCTCCTCCTTCCCCACACCCACGAGGTGGGCTTTGACCAAATTGCCACTCCTGGGTGTGGGGACAACACGGCTGAGGTGGGTCTTGAGGGGCATTTAAAAGTGAAAGATTAAAAATGGCACAAGCCAACAGGCCCATGGCAAACCCTGCCCTCCTCCCCCCCAGCAGCCAGGAACACAGAGTCCCAGCATTTGGATAATTCCATGTAAAATAGAATAGAAGTTTGGTTATTTTTTGATATCTGGGTTTGGTTATTTTTTGATATCTGGGTCTCCCACGTGCTCTGGGGGTTCCACAGCTGGGCTGGCTTTAGGGAGGGTTGCAGAGCTGCCTGCTGGGGATTTACTGGTGCTCCCAGTGCCCCTGAGGAGCCACTCTGGGCTTTTGGGCACAGCAGGAAAACCAGGCTGTGGCATTCTGCCACTGCCCGGGTGGCCACAGCATCCCTGGAGAGCAGAGGGCGATGAGTGGGGCAGGGAGTGAGTAAATTGTGAGTGGGGAGGGTTAACCACAGCCCAGCCAGAGCCAATTCCAGCTGAAATTTGCAGAAGCAGAAAAAATGTCAGAGTTTGCATTCTGTGGGAATTCAGATAGGAAGGAGGGAAGGGGTGAATCACACTGGTGTCCTCCACTAAAATGAAACAAAACCTTCTTCCCCACAAGGAGCCCTCCCTGGCTCTCCATGAGGGTGATCTTCCCGTCCTGCAGCCATCACCGACCTCTCCCATGGAAGGCACGGGGGGGAAGGAGAGCAGGGAAAGTGGCTCATGGGGTATTTGAGATCTGTGGCCAGTCTGGATCCCTCCAAAGCTCCCTCATCTCTTTCCACAGGCTTCTCTGGGATGGGAGCTTCTCTGGGATGGGAGCATCCTGGGATGGGAGCATCCTGGGATGGGAGCTTCTCTGGGATGGGAGCATCCTGCATGTGCCTTTCTGAGGGCAGCTGCTCCCTGTGGTGGCTGCCTGCTTTGGGAATCGCTCATGTTCCTAAATCCAGCTCTCTTGACACACCCAAGTGGCTCCCGAAGATGCCAGCAGGGCCAGCAGGGTGAGTGAGCAGGACAGACCCGGCAATGCCCTCACAGGACATTCCAGCCCCTCGTGACAATGAGTCCATGTCCTGCCATCCCCTTTTCCCTGTGCTGAGCTTGTCCAGCTCCTGCTCTCCTTGCAGCAGGGTTATTGTGGAGTTACAGAATCCTGGAATTGTTCAGGTTGGAAGGGACCTTCAAGACAATCCCCTTCCACTATCCCAGGTTGCTCCAAGCCTCGTCCAGCCTGGCCTTGGACGGTTCCAGGGGTAATCACAGCTTCTCTGGGCAGCTTCTCCCCTCGAAAATTCCCTCAAAACTCCCTGGCTATTGACGAGAAAATCCAGGAGAGAAGAAGCCGAAGCCACGCTGCTGTCACTGCATTGAGGGCCACGTCCTGCCCACCACAACAACATACAAATATCCGGGAAAAAAATGGATCAGCCTGGCCCTGAATCCATCCTCGGGAGAAAACCCTGCAGATTTGGGCAGCCAAGCGCCAGCAGTGCCACCTCCCTGGGGCTGTCCTGCATCCCTACGGCCCCTGGCAGCTTTTTTAGCCATTCTAATGGCCCGCAAAACCTGGCCCTCGGAGCTGCAGGGGTACGGCTGCTGACAGATAACCCATGGCCAGGAGCATTCCTGGGGCCGGGAATAACCATTACAACACCCCAGAACCTTTTGATCGGCGTCATTAAAAGCTGCTGGCGTCAGAGCGAGGGGAAGCCACCCCATCCCGGGGCTGTGTGTGTGTGTGTCTGTGTGCCCCCTGACAAAGTGGATTATCTCCATCCTCCCCGAGCGGCAGCTGCAGAGCAAAGAGGGGGAAAAGGGAGAGTGGCTGAATTTGTACCTTCAGGTAAAGTTGCCTGCTGCTTCCTGGAGGGAGGGGCAGAGGCTTTGGGAGATGTTTAAAGCTCTCCCCAGGAACAAAAGGAGGTGTGGGGGGGGTTGGATTAGCTGGACCCCTGGAAGGGATGCGTGTCCTGCCCCATCATCCACGCCGGGCTTTGCCGGGACCCCCACGCCCGGGCTGTGTGTGCGTGTGGTGTGTGTGTTCCCGTCTGCAGCGTGAGCAATTCCACTTGAAAAGACAGAGAAATCCCCTCCTTTGAAAGTCGCAGCGTTTGGTTCTTCCCAGTAATGCTATAATTGGATGGGATTTTCTCTTAATACACAGGGAAAGTCCTTAAGATGATTTTTCACACACCACCACCCCTCCTCCTTTTCCCTCATCCCACCTTATGCAATAAAACTCCCTCCTCCAGCCCCTTCGGCTGCTCCGGGGGGGGCGGCGGGGGGGTCGGATTTAATACCCTCGCTATAATTGCAGCATCAACACCGCGGGGATTTGCTGGGAGAGCCGAGCCGAGCATCCGTTCCCCCTCTGGAAGCCGCTGGGATCAGCCCGAGCTCGGCTCCGCGCAGCGATTACATCTCGGAGCACTTGCCAGAGCTCACATTTGCAATCGCTTGTCATCCAACCCGAAAGAAAATAATCAGGGCCCGACCCCTGCCAAATTCCCAGTGATTTAAATATCCCCGAATGAACTGCATTTCTAGTATAATTTCACTAGAATGAATATATCTCTCCATCTAGCTCCACACAAACATATCTTTATATGTATGCATGTAAAGCCCTGTGTGTGTAAATAGAAATATTCCCTACTAAGGGAAAATATAAATGCGGCTCTTAATGAGGATGAAAGCGCATTTTGATTTGAGCTAATGCGGGGTTGCAAGGCTTCCCCCAACAAAGTCATTAAAAATTGTACCTCTCTTTGTTCCCTGCGAGCCACAGAATTTTCCTGATTCACAGATAAAATAAAAGCGAGCCAAAGAAATAAATAAAATCTCCTCCAGCTCGCTGAATCCTTAAAAAAAAATAATAACAAATAAAAAGAGTGACAAAACTCGGGGAAAAAAAAAAAATAAAACGGGCAGCAAGCAGCTACAACTACCAAAAAAAAAAAATAATAAAAAAAAAAAAATAAAACCGTGGAGAAGAGGATCGTTGTTGTTATTCCGGGGAGAAAATATCTCCTCGCTCATGCAGTGCCTCCATCCCCTCTTTTCGCCTCTCCAGCCCCCTTTCAAATGAGCCAGGGGAAGGGGGACGCCTGTCAGCTCTGGGTGACACTTGCTCCCAGCCCCAGCCAGCTTGAACCAATATGTTCCAGAGGAGCAGCAAATCCGGCCACGGACCACGAATCGAGGAGCTACATCTTTATAATAATATTAATAATGATTTTCCCCCCCCCACCACTGCCGCCCCTCCTTTTTTTTTTTTTTTTTTTTTTCCCCATTGGGGGGAAAAAAAAAAAAAATCGGAATTTTTGGGACCGCAGAAATCGCCCCCCACCACCGGCACTGAAAAGGGAGAAATTGGGACAATATGTAGAGAGAGAAATTAAAAAAGAGCTCAATTACTGGTGCCCTGTGGGGTGGATCTGGTGGATGAAGTCGTTCGCTGCAGCTCCTTCCCAATGTCCGGGGCTGGGATTCCTGGAAATTGGGATGATCTGAAGGAGCCCTTTGGAGATTTGCATGGAAGAAGTGGATTTTTTAGCAGATGTCTTCAGTGGAGCTCTTGGATCCGCGGCTGCCTGGACTGCTGGGGAAGGGGGGTGCGTGCCTGGGGGGTGCCTGCGTGCCTGGGTGGAAATCCTCTTTTTTTTTTTTTTTTTCCCGTGAAAAAAGGAGGAAAAAAAGCCCCCAAAAAGAGACCAAGCGAAAGTTTCTAGAAAGTTGGTTCAAATGCATCCCAACCGTGAGGAAATGGGGCTTTGAGAAGAAGACAGAATGGCAAGAAGGAGAAATTTGAGAAAATATTAATTTTTAAAAGAAGAAGAAGAAGAAAAAAAAAAAACCTTCACACTTTTTTTTTACTTTTTTTTTCACTTTTTTTTTTACTTTTTTTTTTTTTTTTTTTTTTTTTGCATTTTAGTAGCTTCGACCCAGGGAGTGAAATCCGGGCAGGTTGTTATAGCTACCCAAATCCACAGGGGTCCCCCCTGTCTATTTAAACCCCCTAAATCTTCCTTCCCCTTTTTAAAACTACATTTTATCCCTTGGCTTGTGGGCCAACGTGCCCCCTAATGAGTATTAAAACACTATCTCCTTGCAATTAGCTCATTCCTGACTTCACGCTCCTGATTGACAGAACAAGCCAAAGCATCAGAATTCTCCCTTTGGCAATAAGTGCTGATTGGGTCCTTTTTAAGAGAGCTACTTCAAACTTTTTTTTTTTTTTTTTTTTTTTTTTTTTTTTTTTTTTTTTTTTTTTTTAATATTTGCCTTCAGTGTCTTGGCTGAGAGAAGAGTTTTTTACCTCTCTGAGATTTTTTTTTTCCTTGAGAGTAGTAGAGGAAGCAAGAGAGGATTTACCTGGTCGGGTTGAGTTCACTTCATTTGACTTTTTTTTTTTTTTTTAAATTATTGTTATTATTATTATTATTATTATTATTAAAATAATCATCCTGCCTCAGAAGAAAGGAAGGTTTTTGGCAACTCTGGTTAAAAAAAAAAAAAAAAAAGAAAGACAACTTTTCATCAATGGCCTCTTTTGGATATTTCCTGTTTCTTTGTGGGTTGAGTCAGGCTCTGTCAAGTTACCCAATCTGGTGGTAAGTTTTTATTCTTCTTTTTTTTTTTTTTTTTTTTTTTTTTTTTTTTTTTTCGCTCATTTTCATTTATTTTTCCCCTCCTCTGTTTTCTCTGCAACCCCTGCGCTTAAGATGACTTGAAATTCTCCTTTCGTTGCCACTCAGCTAAAGAGGTGGGATTGTTCCAGCGCCAGCAAGTTCTTAGAACCTGCATTTCACCTCTTTTATTTATGCATTCACTTTGTTTATTTTGACTGGGTTATACCTGATCTCTCCTTCTCCTACTGTAAAAAGAGAGAGAGCGAGAGGGAGCGATCGGAAAGTTTTGTTGTTTTTTTTTTTTCTCTTCCTGAGTGCTTTGATCCTCTCCTGTGAAGAACAAAAGGCGCTGCCTGAATTAAAGAGATAATGATACAAGTTGACATGAGCATTTCAAGGTGATTTCGAGCTAGTCAGGTGGAAGGAAGGGGGGGAAAAAGGAGGAAAACTTTTGGGTGGTTATTTTTTGGCTTTCCCCCTTTTCGCTTTAAGGAATACCGAGGAGTAAATTTAAAAAATAATAATAATAATAATAATAAATACGAGGGGGGAAATGTGAAGAAAGAGAGAGGAGGTGAAGGCTCCACAACCTGGGCTGTGGGAAGGCAGAGCAGGGAGCAGGCACGGGGCTGGGGGAGATAAATCCCGGCGCAAAATCCGCGGCTCCTGCGCGCCCCTTGCCCGGGGATGCGCCGCTTTTATTTTATTTCATTTTATTTCATTTTAATTTGGGACCGGAGGACGGGGAGCGGGGCGGGGGTCGCCTCTCCCGGTTTTTCTCCTTCTCCTCGCTTTGCACCCTACGCCTTTAAGAGCTTTTTCTCCCCCACAAAAAGCAAATGGTGCTGGGCAAGGCATGTAACTGCACGATCTGCACTAATTACCCCGCGGAGGTAATTGGGCTCGGGGAAGCCCTAACGCGGGGAGGCTCCGAGGGCTGAGCCGGGGGGCTCCGAGCTGCCGAAAAACGCCCCCAACATCCCCCCCCCAAAAAAAAAAAAAAAAAAAAAAAAAAATAACCCAAACAACCATCCCCTTCCTCATAATTAATTTTTAAAGTGCGTTGAATCCCCCACCCCGGATCGGCGGTCCCCCCACCCCTGTCCGGCGGTGCAGAGGTGAGGGCGTTGAAGGCAGCAGCCTCTCCAACTATTTCAGGTATGTCTGAAAGCAGGGAACTCGTTGGGATGGGAGAGAGAAAAAAAAAAAAAAGAAAGAAAAGGGGAAAAAAAAAAAAAAGCAATAAAATGCAAATGTGTTCTTGGGAAGACAGGCAGCGAGAGCACCTGGACGGGAGTCATTAAAAAGCAATCTTTTATTCCCAGCCACCATCTAACTTATAATTAGAAACTCTGCTCGCATTCCTGATTGGAGAAGGAAACGCATTCCTTTAATACCGACATAAATATTCGCTTGTCACCCGGCGAGGGGAGCGCGGTCCCGGCCCCCCGGTCCCCCTGTCCCCTCCATCCCCTCCATCCCCTCGGTCCCCTCGGTCCCCGGAGCTGCGGGAAAAGGGGGAAAAAACTGGGAGAAAGGAGCTGGGAAGAGGGGCAGGAGGTTTCTTTCCAAGCCGGGGCATCAGGTGTGTGCGGGGGGGGTGGCGGTCAGCGGCGACATTTGGGGGTTTTGGGGTGGTTTTGTTCCAAGCAGCGGTTTCAGACGGTTCTTTCGCAAGGAGAAACCCCCCTTAGGCCATGGAAATGCAAAGGAGCCTTGGATTGGGGTGGGGGAGTCGCGGGAGAAGCCGGGAGCTGTTGCATTGGCTGCCTAAATTCCCCCTCGCCCTCCCACCCCTTTCCCTCTTTATTTATCCTCAACCTTTCCCTCTTTATTTATCCCCAAGCAAGATATAAACCCACCGCGGCTGGAGATGGGGAGCAGCCCTGGAAATGTGGGAATTGGGGCCTGGAAGGGGTCCCCGGGATGGGGATGTTGATGGGTTCCATGGGGACGTTGTTGTGTCCCCATCCCAACAACGGGAGGGGGAAATTCTTTTTCTCCTAGGCCAGCTCAGCTGTTCCCAAATTTACCAAATCGACCGTGCTGCTATATTTGATTTTAATTTAATTTTGCTCTGCTCTTTTGTGTTGCTGTTCTTTTTCTGGGGTGGTTTTGTTTGTTTTTTTTTTGGAAGAGAGAAGCAGGAATTTTTTAGTCTGGGCATGCAAGCAGTAAACATCCCATCCCAACCATCTCTGCTTAAAGCCTCCCCTCCATCAGCTCGCGGTGATTTGGGTGTTTAGAGCAGAAAATCTGTCATTTACCACCCCCAAACCGTGCCCCCCTCCCCACTAATGTTTTCTAATTAAAGCATCAACTCATCCTAAAGCACACGGGGCTGTGGATATTTACACTTGGGGAAAATCGGTGCAAAAATCGGATTGAGAAGTTCTGTTTTCCTCTGGGTTTTGCTTAATTGTTGTCCCAAAATTAGGGGGAAATGTAAATTTGGCAGGGGGATCAAGTGCTGCTGTGAGTTCTGTCTTCCTCTCACAGCTTCTTTTTCGGCTGAGCTGTTAAAATTGCTGCTCCCACCGTGGCACAGGGCACCTGTTTAAATCAGAACGAGCAGATTCCCACATTCCCGGGAGCTTTGGGAAAAGTTTGGTGCAGGGAAAGGGAAAGGATCCCTTGGAGCAGCGATGCTCCCACGCTCCATCCGTGAGGATGCTGGGGAGGCTCTGTGAGTTCCTTAAAAACCAGCAAAAAAAAAATGAATTTACAGGCTGGGATAAAAGAGGCTTTGAAAATAATGGTTTAAGAATAATCAAAGAAGAGGGGCTGGCTGGTGTGGAGGGTGATGAGCCAAGTTTTAGGGGTGTGCTGGTGGGGTTTATTGTGCCACAGGAGCCCCACGGGACCTCCTTCAGCGCTGAGCTCTTCAACCTAAAGCAGCTCCTGGGAGCAGCAACAAAAAAAAAAAAATAGATAAAAGAGATTGGAAGGAGCGAATGAAGGCTGAGGGAATTCTGGAGCAAAGTTCATGGGTAAGGGAGGATTAAATGGAACCTGTTCCCTGTCCTGGGGGAGTCTGGGGTCTGTGGGGAGCAGCATGAACAGAATTTAAACTTTTTGCATTGACTTGACCGGCTCCACATGGAATGGGAAAAAAAAAAGCCTTTAATTTTATTTATTATAATTTTTTAATCCGTGCTAAGTGGTCTGGCTTGGTCTGAACACAGCCAGTGGGCAGAAATGATTCAGAAAGGAGAAGGGTTGGATTCAGGAGGGGAAAAAAGAAGTCAAGAAAAATTAACACAGAGCTTCCATGATGGGAATCTAAATCTCCTGCAGCCCAGGATGCTGCTCCTGGGGGAGATGATCCCAGGAGAGGCTCCCTGGGCTGAACTGGAAGTACAGGGAGACCCCTTTGCTGCAGGGAAAACTAACCAGCATCATTTTTCCTGGGTGTGAGGCAGCTTTGGGATGTGTGTGGTTAAATTCTGTGCCTGGAGAGGGATGGGAAGAGGAGTTCTGATGGAACAACAGGCACTGGCTGGGGTTTGACGTGGTGGCATCGCTCTGGGTGCAGTGTCTGTCCCTCCCTCTGTCCTGCTGGGCGTGGTGGGGCTCCTGTCCCCTCTGCTGCTCCCACAGCTCCTGTCACACCCAGAGTGGGGTGGGATGGGGTCAGCCCCATGAGAAGCTGGGAAATATCAGTGAGCAGTGTTCCTGGAGGTGCCAGGAGGATGTGAAGGGTGTGGGGATGTGTGCGGAGGCATTTCCCTGCCTGTGGCCCGGCTTTGCTCTCACTGCCAGCGCTGGCCATCATTTCCTCACCCATGCAGGACGAAGCTGTGCTGTTCTGCAGGATCCCAGAGATCCTGGGAGAGCTGGGAGAGGGATCTAGCAGCTCTCTCCATCTGAACTTTTTTGCAGTTCGGGAAATGTTAAGCTGGAGCAGCGGTGAGGCCCCTCCAGCAGTGCTCAGGTGCAGCACCTGAGCCTGTCCCTGTTCTGTGGCATCACCACATCACCACAGCAGGAGCAGGGCAGGGATGAGCTCCTGGCGTGCGCTCTCTGCTCTTTTCTGGCATCTGCTCCCCTCAAGGTGGGTGGAACAGCCCCCATTTTAAAGTGAGTGCAGTCCAGGCCAGGTCCTGGCTCCCATGAGGAACCCAACCCTTGTCTGCTGTGAGCCCTGCAGAACCGGGGAGCTCACCTGAGGGACAGCCTGAGCTGGGGGCTGTCACCAGGGCTCCTAAAGCAATCTCTAGAGCTCAGAGTATGAATTGCATCTCCCCGCTTCTCTGCTCCGTTGGCCAGGCTGAGGAGCTGGAATTCATCCTCACCTCCTCCCCTCCTGCGGCAGGTTGTGTTGAGATGTTAAAATCCATCAGTGTAGCGCTGCAATTGCTCCACATCCATCCTCTCCCACCCATCCCAGCCCTCAGAATTGCCTTTTTGCACCTGTCCCTTTTATTCCAGCAGCATCTGACCCAGCCCTGTTTCTCCAGGCAGAGGTTAATCACAGAGTGATGGTTTAGGCCCCTCTCAGAGGGGTTTAGGACACTCTCCCCAGTCTGGGTTTGGGATGGGTGGTGTGCACCCAAGCAGCAGTGCAGCCGAGGAAAAAGGATCAAGGTGATATCTGTGTGCAGATCTGAGTGGTAAAAAACAGCTCTTGCCCATTCTGTGTGCAAAGGGGAAGGGAAATCTCTTTTTGGTGGGACTGCAGAAACAAACTCTGATGGTGTTTGTGTTGTTCCTGGCAGAGTCCAGTTGGGGTGAGATTCAATGACTGGACCAAGGTCACACCAGGAGGTTTTTTCTCAGCAGGAACTGAAAATTTTGCAAGGTCTTAGCAAGAAGTCCCCATTTGAAACACGGGGAGGGCTGGGACTTTCCTAAAGAAAATCCCAAATCCTCCATGAGCTTTCAGACTCATTTTATCAAATTTTGTTTTTCTGCTACATATTAATTGATTTCTTTTCTTTCTATTTTGAGAGGACTTTATTAGATATATTAACCTGAAAACC